ACAAATCAAACCATATCCCAACCTTACCACGTCACCTTCTGCGATTACTTCTCCAACATGTTCTCACGATCCAGCCCATTCAAGACAAACCGCGAAACCCTACTCTCCTCTTTCCGTGACCGTTCCTCCCTCGAAACCTATTCCAGTGACACAATCGGTCTTAGCCCCTACACAGTCTATGGCATGTTCCTATGTAGAGGAGACATCACCAAACCATCTTGCTCAGACTGTGTCAATGACGCAACCCGAGAAATCGCTAAAAACTGCACTTACCAAAAAGAAGCCGTCGTATTCTATGAAGAGTGTATGGTACGTTACTCAGATTCTTCTTTCTCCACCCTCATGGATGATTATCCTTTCATCATTAGAAACTCTGAAACCTTTGTCCCTAACCCGGGTCGGTTTGGAGAAACACTTTCCAATAAAATGGATGACCTTACCATCAAAGCGTCTTCTTCTCCATCGTATTTCTTGGAGGATAAAGAACGTGTGACTCAACCAGAAGGTTCGTATGATTTAGATTCAATTGCTCAGTGCAGTCCTGATCTTGATCCAAAAAACTGCACGGTGTGTTTGAAACTTGCATTCCAAAAAACCTTGAAGTTTAGCCGGTCTCGGAATTGGGCTCTGACCTTTACTCCTAAATGTCTCTTGAGGTATGAAACTTCCCCTTCTTCATCTCCGTTGGCTCCACCACCTTCTCCGCCGCGGCAGCGAAACGGGTCATCTTCTATTAACGTTATAAAAGGTGAGCATATTATATGTCATTTTAGTATGTTTTTTATAACCATTTGTAGTATATCCAACCAAATTAAGAGAATATATAGAGTAAATTATTAATACGTTGATTTTGTCTGTCTTGAAGGAAACGAAATATTTTGGAGAATCTTTATTGCGGTCATGGCAACTTATTCATGTGTTAGCACGTTTGGGTGAAGGAATGTGTAATTTTTAGTGATTGTGCTAAGTGTGATGTGTTATGTTCTTGTCTAATAAGATTCC